TTGACCGTAATTAGTAATTCTTGTCAAATTTAAGAAGAAATGTTGGTTAATTTGTTTTGTGTGTAGTACCTTTTTTGACCATGGGATGGCAGTATGACAGTTTGAACTTAAGGATGGATAGTGAGGGAGTGAGCAGTGTCTTTTTAAGAAAAATGGGAGGGAGGTCCCTTGACGTGACATGGGCTGTCTCTCTTCGGTTCTCAAAATGGCGGACGCTCGGTGTGGTTTGAGCTCTTTAGCATAGAATTTTTCACACAAAACTTTTAATAAAAAATCAGTAAACAAGTTCTCAGCTTCTTTTTTCAGAGAAAAACAACTTTTTACACGAAGGCACGGATTTTAACCGTGAATTTTGGAGCTTCGACAAGACAGAGTTTTTTTCCCCCGAGGTCGGCCTGTTAGCTTAGCTTGTAGCTTAGCTTCTCAGCTTAGCTGCTTTTAACGATCCAAAAACGTGATTTTAGATCGTTAAAACTGATTTTAAAGTGAAAAGAGAACTGGAGGGGGCAGTGAAGAGCACCGGAGTTGAGCTTTTTGTCATCCAGTGTCTTCAGTAGAAAGAGAGAGACACAAAGACGCGATAAAGCCGATAAATGAAAAAGTTGATAATTTTCGTTTATCATGCCTTTAATTGATTGTTTATTGCGACAGGCCTATGATTCTCCTGGTTATGAGTCTTAAGTTTCAGGGTAGAAGCTGTTCCTCAGTCTAGTGGTTCTACACTTAATGCTAAAGGTACTGAATGCTGCAAAAAGTGGGTGAAATTAAACTTAATGCGGCCAGTTTGGGTATCAACTATTAACCAGTGATTAGTGTATCAAGAGCAATTTAGCAACAGTTCATTTGGCAAATCTCCTTTTTTGTAAAAATGAAAATGAAAAATGCCCAATAGAGTGGAGTCTTCAGACAACTTGAGACCTGAAGAGTCTTGTATAGAGATGGCCCTGGAAATCGGCTCAGGCCCAGGATTAACCAATATCCAGCCTGATCAGAGATCAGCCAGTGAGCACTCAAAAATCCAATATTTTTCAGATCAGTGAACACTCTCCTTGCAGAACTGTCCAGTACTGCTTGTTTGGAAGGTCTTTACTGCCTGGATTAAACATAAAGTTAGCCTTTAGCTATCCGTAGGATGTTTATAAATAAAATCAGAAGAAAAAACAAAAGTTGGAGAAGCTGTTAGGAAGAAATAATGTTTTCTACAGCGAAATATTATCCGCCATTCAGCATGGAGCTGACGGTTGGTTGAGCAGAAGCACTGTTTTTTTTTTAGTTTTCAAACCTCTGTCATAAAACAGTTTATGATCTCTAGGCAGGTTTTTGAGTCGGGAACACCTCCATCTGAAGAAGGCACAGAGAAGCTGTTACTGTCGCAGTGCTAACCCTACCAATGTCACTAATAGCGCTAATAAAAGATTTTAGTTGAAATGTCTACACAGTAATTGTTTTCTTTTATACCATTTTTTATAGTGTATCTGCTGACGCGCCGTCTGCGCTTACATGATTAATTATTGATTGTTAAACAGCAAAATGAATGACAGCGAAGGGACAATTTATTAATCTAACATTTAACTACAATTTGTATTTTTCAATTATATCTTTGAATAAAACTATTTATTTTATTAAAGATCTTGTAAGGAAAACAACATTCTGTGAACTACACAAAACATAAAAATGTTATGTAGCTACAATCTGAATCAAATACACAAAATAAATATGTATCCACTGAGTTTTTTATTTAGAGTAAATTCCTCAGTCTAATAGTCTGGTGGAGATTATTTGGAGATTTGTAGATTATTTCCAGTGATAGAAAGAGAGTTTAGTAACTTGGTGTTTTTTTTAAAGAAAATATTTTTTGATTTACACATTTTATTGTTAACCACATTATCAATTTTACTGGAAATTAGAAAAAAATATACCTGATAAAACACCGAGGCTGCCAGTATTAACTTTTCAGATGTTCTGCTTCATTAAATACCAGCTGTTTATTTACAGCCAGAAGATAAAGTTTAGCTGGAATTTATTTCCCTGAATAATCGAAGTCTACTTGTTCTTGCTTTTTAATTAGAATGGTCACTACCTCACCTCGTCATACCTTTATAAGAAAAAATCTCAATTTTCTGCGGCCATTGACATTATTACATAACTAGAGCTCGGTAGATATCAAATATTGGCTATCGCTCATAACGATATTGGGAGGGGAAGGTGATCACCAATAACTGATATAATGGCTGAACATTTTTTAGCTTTGTTTGTCCACCAAGAATTTAAGAAAACAACAAGTGGAGCGCGGCTTGTTTATTTAGCGCAGCTGCTAGACACCATGAAGCTAATTCATTCAGATCCACGTATACCTAGACCCACACCAGATTTACAAGTGGTGCACTGGTCATAAACAGTCTTCCTAACATTCGTTCACATTTTCTTTCCTCCATTATTCACCATAAGGTTATCAAGTGTGTTACGTAAATATAAATTAAACAAAGAAACACCCTTCCCTGTTCATTGTTTTGATCTCAGCAGGTTTTTTTTCTTTGCAGAGAAGTAAAGATTTCAGACGAACAACGTATTTCATTGAGGGCGACAAAGATAATGTTACTAACACTGATGTATTTTACCTCTATGCTAGATTTTCTTTAATTACTGCCTTGATCTTATTGGTAAGCACTTTGGTAACAGCTGCTTTTTTAAATGTGCTTTATAAATAAATTTGACTGACTTGACTTGGCCTGTGCTAGGTATCTAAATTTTAGCTTTCTAACATGAGAGGCATGTAGCTAATGACAATCGGGCTGGAGGATTGAAGAGAATTTATTATTGTTGATTTGTTTTACAGATCAGTTAAAATAAACTTACCATGCTCTTTTCAGCAAAATACGTTACACAGTGTTGCTCCCTATTTCATTTGTGCTGAAAGTGAAAGTGAAACTTAAGTGAACGGCCATGACTTGAAAGTTGTCTTCATGCACCCTCTGCTGGACACATTGTACAATTACGACTGGTTCCAGCATTTAGAGCTGAAAATTAGAAGTGTTTATATCGGTGCATAATGGGACAATTATCACAATACCAGTTTGTCCCCAAACAGCTATATCGACCTAAATTATCGGCCCTACTGATAATATCGGTTGGGCTGTATACACAACATTGTCAATAAAATTCTCTAGAGCAGCAGTGTTGAAGCTTTCTGACAGTCAGTCACTCAGCTTTTTAAACATCTTAAATATTAACCACTATTAAGCTTCCCTCTATAACAGAGCTATTCAACTGGTGGCCCGGGGGCCAAATCGGGTCCACAGGTGAGCTTAGTTCGGCCCACCAATGGGATCATTTTTAAATAAAACTAGATTTTAAACCATAAAATAACTTACTTAATGACAATAACTGCTGGATGTCCAGCCCCTGAGCTCTTGGCTTTCAGTAACTGCGGCCCCCTGAGCAGTTTAGTTGCATATCCCTCCTATACACTCTGAACTCCAGAGACTACACTGCAGCACATTCAAACCAGCTGATAAAAATTAATGGTAGTTTTACATTAAATGTCACAGCGGAGCAGAGGTTAAAGCTATCATCTCCCAGCAAGAAGGTCACAGGTTCGAAACCCACTGCCATTACGTTGAGTTTGAAGGATTTATCTGTGCGTGTGTAGGTTTTGTATGGGCACTCAGTTTCCTCCCACAGACCAAAATAAACAAAACAAAAAATGCTATTAGGCTAACTGGTAAATTTAAATTATCACTTGATGTGAATAGTTTGTCTATGTGTAATGGATTAGTGACCTGTCCAGGGTGTACCCTGCCTCTGTCACGATGACTGCTGGTGAATGGCTTCTTACACAGAAACTGGATAAAATTAATGATTAGATGCATATTTTGCATTCTGTTTATTACAGTTCTTGAAACATGGTAACAGCAGGTCAGAGCTATCCAAATACCAAGTTTTGGCCCACAAAGCCCAAACAAGTACTTCCCATTTTACATTTAGAATGTCTAAAAATTACAAATAAGCTTGAAGTTTGCTAATAGTATTGATACATTGTGGGGAACAGTCAGATTATTTTTCTAACATCAACAGTAGTGGTCGTCAGGTGATAAAGGTTAGTACAGACGGATGTAAACGCTGAGGAGATGGGATGATGTTCTTGTGATTAGGTCAGACTATAAGCTGCTCTTGTCTCTGAGTCCGGCTGCCGTGTCACAGGCTCTCCTGGGAAACTGTCCCTCTGGAGGATTTGCTCGTCTGCTACATCAGACGCAAAGTCTTTTTTTGCATGAGTAATGCGAGTTGAACAGAAAACAGCGGTATCGATTGTTTTTGGATGCTTTGCACACATTTTCATGTCCATAAGAAAGAGCTTGAATGTTTCCCTGCAGTTTACGTGACTATATTTGCGACTACCAAACAGATTATCTGCTACTATCATACATATATGAGCTGTCTATCCCCATTCTAAGGACAATCTGTTTTGTGCAAATAAATGTTTGAAGCCAACGGATATCAAATTAAAAGGTAAGCATGATCGTATTCATCAGATGTTTGATCAGTTCTACAACAGCAGGATAAATGAGTTCCAGATACAGTCCCACCCTCACGGTGACCCTGCATGCCACCCAGTGTTGTTTACCCACTCGGATGCTTTTACACTCTGCTTGAGGCTTTGGATGACTGACTGAACGAGTCCGATGGAGGCCCAGACCTGCACGGCCCAGTGTTTGTGCTGAGTCCATCATTTTGGTCCATGCGGGCTGTGTAGAATAGGCTGGGTGGGGTAACTGAGTGGGGAGGGGTTCTGTTGTCGAGCCCTCACATTCTGCACCGGACTGAGATAGTGCAAAAGGTTGATCAGAGGTTCTGAACCCGACACGTTCCTGGGGAGTGATCAGCTCAGTGTGTTGTTGTGAACAGAGGAGGCTTGATGTTCTGGTGTGATGCGTTCAGGGTGCTAGTGGAGCCCAGGTTGCTAATGTTGTTTAATTTTCCTCTCCCTTCTGGCATTTCAGTCATAATCAGAGGAGCACATCGTATCTCCATCCTGTAACCGGACAGATCTGCCCTGACAACATGGACTACATCCTTCAAGAACAGTGAGTGATCAAATTTGGTACTTTTCTTCAGTTCCAAGCAAAGAAATAGCGTAGTTACAACTAGTTGTTCCAGTAAACTTTACATACACTTTCCCTGTCAAATTCAGAATTGAATTCAAAATCTTACTTCTAACCTACAAAGCCCTCAACAACCTAGCTCCATCTTATATATGAGATCTTATTGTTCCATATTTTCCTAACAGAGCACTTCGCTCTCAGACTGCAGGTTTACTCGCGGCTCCTAGAGTTTCCAAAAGCAGAATGGGAGAAAGATCTTTCAGTTCTCAGGCTCCTCTCTTGTGGAACCAACTTCCAGTTTCTGTCCATGAGGCTGACACATTGTCCAGTTTTAAGACTGGGCTTAACTTTCCTTTTTGATAAATCCTATAGTTAAGGTTGGCTTGTTACGCTGCTATAGACTTAAACTACCGGAGGACAAATTGACCTCATTTCAAAATTGAATAGTTTTCATTTTATACTAATTCTATCTTAACATGTGATTCTTGACCTGCCATTGTGTAGCTGTTCCTACCAAACCCAGCTGGTGTAAGCAGATGGCTGCTTGTCCTGAGCCTGGTTCTGCTAAAGGTTTCTTCCTCATGAGGGAGTTTTTCCTTCCCACTGTCGCCTTCGTGCTTGCTCAAGATGAGAGTCTGCGATGGATTTAAATTCCAAGCAGTCTGCTCCTCAGTTAAATAATGATAAATTATAATTTTTATATATGAATGTTTCTGTTCAGTGCCCTGAGAGGACTTAATAAACTGAACTAAATTAAATTGAATTGAATTAAATACATTTTCTTCAGCTGTGGAGTGCAGTACATACCTCAAGTTGTTTTTTTTTGATTAAATATAAATAATGTTAAATGATTTTTAAAATATTTTTCTAATGATTTTAAAAATCATTTTTATCTTGTTTGCCTAAAATTGTTTTATGGTTATTTTTTTTTGTGTGTGGGGTTTTCTAGTTGGCTGATTTGCACTTGACTTTAAAAAATGCTCGCCACATCTTAAAGTTATTATTCAAAAGTTTTTTTCTTGTGTTTAGGCAATTATACTTTCTTATTGAGCAGGTGTGTGTGGAATAGTTCTTTATTGCTTCAGGTTTTCCTTTGTTGCTTCTCTTTTGTGAGGAAAGAAACGAAAGAAGAAAGATGGATTTCTCAAGGACACGCTGGTGTTGGGTGTTTATTGCCTGATGGTGCTGCAGCAGGAATGAGTAAACCATGGCCCCTCGTGTTTGAACCAGTAGCTGGAAAGGGCAGCTGAATGTATTTTAAGTTAAATCTTGTTTTCCTCTCTTTTTCTTCGAGCAGACATTGGATTCTATTAGAGTCTCAGTGCCTGTTCTCTAAGTAGATCAAATAACTGGGTAAGCTTACCTTAACCTACTTTGTAGAAACTAAAGCTAGCTTTGGGGAAATTGCTGCAAAAGTATGAAAAAATGACAAAATAAATATTGTTTGCAGGTTCTTATATCATAGAGATATAGCGCTCCCCCTGACAAGATGTAGATTTGTTTTTCCTCATACAGTTACTTCTTTATTTTTCAACTGGACTGAGTTTAAATGTTATCTTAGCTGGATGCTACAGTAAACAATGGATCACACAGTCTGTACTTTAGCTTCCCAAGTGTTGTTCAGTCACTAATTGCAACAAAAGTGGGAACTTTACAAATGAATATTTTACAATGTCACTACTTTAGTATTTGGGGATGTTATTGCTCCATTCAGCTGTTTTTTTTGAGAGGTTTCTAGTTTTTGTTACTGTGAAACTTGAAGAAATGAGCTGATGAGGTTGATCACCCCAAAAAAAAAAAAAAACACAAGGAGGAGAGGGATTGGTTTCATTCATGTCAAGATTAATGTTCCCTACGTTACACGATGGCAATAAACGCCAGGTAGAAGTTTAAAAATGACAGAGCACTGCGTTTGGGTCACATAAAGACAAACGAGACAAACAACCATTCACCCTCTCTCTCACCTAGGGACAATTTTAGAATCAGTTTTTGGTCTGTGGGAGGAAACCGAAGATCAGAATTGCATTCAGTCTAACAAAATATAAGGGTTGTGTCTAGTGTGCATGTGCACACCTTTAAAGCAGACAGATAAAAAGATTAAACTGCCTAGAAAAGTGTGTGATGTCATTTTAACACATAATTTAGGGAATTCTATGTACGTATGTGTGCAGTTAGTAGAGCTGTTGCCTGTCAGCGAGAAGGTCGCCGGTTCAGATCCGTGCTGGGGGCCTTCCTGGGTGGGGTGTGCATGTTCTCTCCGTGCATGCTTGGGCTTTCCCCGGGTACTCTGGTGTCCTCCCACAGACCAAAAACATGCATGTTAGACTGATTGGTAACTCTAAATTGTCCCTGGGTGAGAGTGAGAGAGTGAATGGTTGTTTGTCTCTATGTGTCCCTGTGTTGGACTCGTTACCTGTCCAGGTGTCCCCCGCCTCTCCCTTACTGACTGCTGGATATGGGCACCAGTGACCCCCGTGACCCAAGTAGGATGAAGCGGGTAAAGATAATGGATGGATATGTTTGTCTATATGTATATGTGTGTATGCCTGAACTGCAGAACACATGAAGAGATGTTATTTTACTATGTACACACACACACACAAACATATATATATATATATATATATATATATATATATATATATATATATACTAAAATAAAGTACTACTTACTACTTGTACTACTATTCCTACTTCGCGGTTTTTCACTTATTGCGGGGCTTAAGGGTACGGATCCACCACGATAACAGAAACCAACAGACCACAGTGTGAAGATCCACAACTTATCCTCCTCCACCAGAACCCTCAGCACTGGCTCCCCCCAGGGATGTGTGTTGAGCCCCCTCCTGTTCATTCTGCTAACGTATGACTGCGCACGTACCTATCCAGGCAGTCATATTGTAAAGTTTGCAGATGATACAGCGGTGGTGGGATGCATCACAAACAATGAGTCCAGCTACAGGCAAGAGGTGGAACACCTGGAGAGCTGGTGCAAAGAGAATAACCTTCATATCAATGTGAAGAAGACAAAGGAGATGGTTGTGTACTTCAGAAGGAATAAGCCCCCCCCCCAAAAAAAAAACAACAAAACAAAACAAAAAAAAAAAAACATAGGAGGATCTGTGGTGGAAGTGGTCTCCTGCTACAAGTACTTGGGTGTGCACCTGAATGGCAACCTCAGCTGGAGCAACAACACCACCAGCCTGATCAAGAAAGCTCATCAAAGACTCTACTTCCTCAGGCAGCTGAGACGAGCTGGTCTGGGAAGCTCAGTTCTCACCTCCTTCTACAGGTGTGCAGTGGAGAGCATCCTGTGCTCCAGCATCAACGTGTGGCATGGAGGCTGCACAGCTGCAGAAAGAAAAGCTTTGCAGAGAGTGGTGAAGGCTGCACAGAAGTCTGATGGAGTCAGCCTCCCCACCATCACAGACATCTACACCTCCAGATGCAGGAAGAGGGCCACCTGCATCATGAAGGACCCCACTCATCCAGCACACACACTTTTTGCTCTACGACTCTCAGGAAGGAGGTTGAGGAGCATTAAGTTGAGAACCACTAGGCTGAGGAACAGCTTCTACCCTGAGGCTGTTAGACTCATGAATCCCTAGTCAGGATTATCACTGTGAAAATTAAAATGGAAAAAAAAAAATCTCTGTAACGCCACTTGATTGTTGATATGTGCTGCTGACTATCCATGATGCTGATCTCATGCTGCTGATCTATTTCATGTTGCTGTGTTCATTCGTCCTCATCTGCTCACACAGACTCATGTTCGTGCTGTTGTTTGGCACATGTAGTGCTTAGTGTATTCTTAGTTCATGTCTTGGATCTTACTATTGTTTTTCTTTACAATTTATATTTTTGTTGGATGTAACTGGGACCCTGTGTACATAGTTTTGTTCCACCTCTTGTACCACATGTGATGTGAATGACAATTAAGAACCTCGAATCCTTGATAAACGAGGGACTACTGTATATAAAACCTCTCTTTAATGAAAGATACATTGTTGCAGATAGTTCCAAACCAAACCATAAATCTTAGAAGTGTTCATCAATTTTTCTAAATCTCATTGCTCCTTTGGATTCAGTTTTTTGGGCCCAGGGACAAAACGGCTCTTTCTTTCCACAGTGAGCTTATTTATTCTCGAGACCTTTTACATGAATCCACTTCCAAAAGCATAAAGGTATGTTAAATGTCAGGTTTTTATAAAATGTGTGGCTCAGTGTAAGAAATAGAGCAGCTGCAACACAGACTGTCGATGTCTAACTCCGTTTGATTGCTGGTAGCATCATGAGGAATAAGTCGTAGTTAAAACTTAAATTATACCTACCCCGTGTGCTCGTTCTCTTATAGTACAGCAGTTATTACAGTGCTGAGTTTTGCTTCATTCTACTTAATAACTGTAATTGTTTAATAGTTGTTTTTGGGCTTGTAATGAATATTTTATGTGGCTGACTCATCTTGCTGTGGTGTTTTGTAAATCTGCTTTGCTCTCCAGCTTCATGGATATCGATGCCTGTGAGACTGAATTAACATGATTGGGATTATGAAACTTATGTGGGCTCAAAGCACTTGCAGTTTTATCTAATCTGCAAGTGTAGCAATCAGTGAGCTTAAATCCAAATCAAGGCTTCATGATATATAGAGCAACACGGTGGATCATGTGGTAGAGTTGCTGCCTCTCAGCAAGAAGGTCGCCGGATCAAATCCCGACTTGGGGCTTTTCTGGGTGGAGTTTGCATGTTCTCTCCATGCGTGTGCGGGTTTTCTCCCACAGACCTGTATCCAGTTTTTCTTCTAGTCTAAAAATATATAGCTTCATCAAACTGTGCTTATTTAAGTCAGTAAATTTTGCGTTCTTACTTTACTTGTTATTTTTTATGTAGATATATCAATATATTTCTAAACATGCATGTTGGGCTAATTGGTATCTTTAAAACTGTTACTAGGTGAGAGTGAGAGAGTGAATTGTTGTTTGTCT